ATCCGCTCGAAAAGATGAAGAAATAATGAAGATGAGGATGATTATGATGAAGATGACACAGGGAAAGCGCAAGTTGTATGCAAATAAATTGGCTAAATTATTATATAAGTGGCTTTCACAAATTACACTTGACCTAGGCAGAGTTTCAAAAACAAAATAAAAACACCCTTAACCACCCTCGGGACGGTGACATTTCTTTGACTCTAGTTGTTAATTATATGGAAATATTGAAGGCAGCATAAAATATAGCCACAGAGAAGGTAACCTTAAACTTTATTTTGGGGATTTTAAAAAGTCAAATTTTACATACTAAAAAATTCAATTTACACAGAATTTGGTATACCAAAGTTGAATTGGTTACTTTTAAACTCCTTTTTTAATGGGTTTTCAAACATTAGAGATTTCTAAAGCACCCGAGATTATCGGGTCTTGCATTGTATTATTTATTGCATACTTTTAGACGCATATTTAAGGGATTTTAACCCCCCTTTTGCATTTTTTTAACCTTGTTGATTGTATTTCATTTATTTAACGTTTTTTTTTCATTACCTTTATTATTTTTAACCATTGCTTTATATTGTTAGAAAATTATTTTTAAGAACTCTTTCGGAAATACAATCATATTTCCCACCCCTACTCTTTTCTATTATATTTTCTAATAAGAACGGGCTAACTATTATTATTAAAAATGTGTATTTTAAATTACCATTAAATAAGTAACATTATTAACTTGGACCTAAAAATTAATTCTGTTAATTGACTTTATAAATTAAACTTATCATGGACTTGTTATATTTCATGAATTTCTAAGAAACAGATTACCAAATCTCGCTTCACCTGAAACTAAATGCCTTTTGTTCATTTAAATTATGCTTAATGCTTTTCCCTACGATTTTCAGCTCTTATTAGGCAGTGACGCCATCAACCCCCTCTGAGGACTGGTAACTAATTAGAGCCGCTTCGACTGAGGGCCAGAGTTTGGCCAGGCACATGTCAAGAAGTCTGGCAAATTTGCTGTCATGACTGCGAACTTGGACGTAGATATGGATGTGGATATGGACATTGGGGCCCTGGACATGAACATGGACATGGATGTTGATGTGGACATGCCACCGACGCCGCGTCGAGTTGTCCGTCAAAAATGTCAGCAGCCAAACAACGAACCAAACAAACAAACAAACACAAAACAGACACACTCCGCAAATCGCAGATGGCGGAAAATCGCCCTTGACTCGGGCTTAAACTTCGACTTGGACATCACAGCTTGAGCTGCGACTCCCACCCCGAAGAGCCGTGACATTTGGAGTTGCGTGTTGGGATCATTAGAATGTTTACCTGTATATGCCAGGTCTTGCGAGGGGCGATTCGTATGTACGCGACGAAATGGGAAATCAAGTTGCCAACGGACAACAGCGAGCGGGGTCGTGTGATTGATGTGAACATGTCAGCACGGACAGGAAAGTGGATGGAGTGGATAGGTGGTGTGTGTGTGCTCCGGGATGGGATCTGATCGGGTTCGGGAGGGAACCGACATGGCAGGAAGCATAAATTGTAGACAAAGATGAGCGCGGACACAAGATACAGATATGTTCGGGCTGCTATTACACGACTCACAATCAGCTGCAGATACAAATTTATGTCATGTGCAGTCGCTGGACATGTGAATGACAAAAAAGCATCGCCATAGAGTCGGAGCCTAGGAGTTTTGACAACCGGTTATGCACTGAGAGAAATGGTAAAACAAAATGGATTTATTATTGGGATGTTTAAACTGGCAAAACTATAGGTAAGGAGCAAAGAGGTGTAATGCTTCTAAAGATTTTATTCAGATTAAACATCAACTAAATAAATCCAAATGACAATAGTAAACCACCAATAAGAATATATAAAAATAATTTCCAGTGCATCATGGGAGCCAAAGTTTGAGCTGGAAGTTGTGAGTTTGGAGGCTTTGGACCAACCCAAGTCGATGGACGGGGGTCAAGCGACCACCTGACAGCGGCAACTTTCCTTGGCTTTTCCAGGCTGATTTCACCGTCGGACGATTCAATTTCCCTGGCAGGCCAGGAGAGGTGCCTCAGCTCCGCTCAGCTAGGCCGAGGCTGTGCGTGCTGTTGACATTGGGTCATAAATTCTGGCGGAAAACAGACAACAGTTTTCATTGTTCGGCTGCTCAGATGCAAGACCTTTGTTTGGACAATACACAAATATGGGCACTAGGCAAACACGCCGATACGCAGCAATAGACAAATAAATGCCTCGAAAGAAATTGGGTTGGGTTGGCAGAAGAGGGAGGAGGAGAGGCTGCAGCCAGCTGTCAGAGCCAAACTGTTGACTCTGGCAAAGTTCAATCGAGCAAACATTCAGCCAGCAAAACTACCCCCTGATCCTAGCTGCAATATCCCAAAATCCCAGCCCCGGAATCAGGCCAGAGACGCCACTCCGCCCAACCTTGGGCATCTCTGCAACCGTGCAGGTCTCAGGCCCAAATGGGTCAGCCGGCCACGTCACTTGCCACGACCTACTTTAGAAAGTTTTTTGGTAGCAGCATCCGTGTCAGGGGTGTGGACTGCGACAGTATCCTTGGCCCAGCATACAAAAGTATCAATAGTGGAGCAAGCCAAGGTTATGGATTGAGAATACCCTCTCGAAAGTGGAAATGAAAAGATATAGATTGAAAAATTTATGTTTCCAATAAAGAAACTAATTTTTAAGTTTTTATCTTTTTCATAAGAGTAAGAAATATACGCTTACTGTGATTATAAATAGCAACTTTTGCTGCAAAGGTATATGTGATTTAGAAACCAAAAATAGTGATTAAAAGCCTCCTTCTAGCTTTAGATCCGTGAATTACCCTACGTCTCAGCAGCCTGTGCGGCAAACTGTTCGGGTTTCAAATCTTCATTAAATCAAACAAATCATAGAAATAATCAATAATTACAATTATAAAGTAAAAGAATATATATATTGAATAATTTTTTGATTTTCTGAAGACTTCGATAAACTAAATAAATGTATTTTTACTTTACTTTACTATTTTACTTTTGTATTTGTACCGTAAGTGAATAGTAACATGTCTTAAAATATTTTTAAATTTGGAATTAGGAGTTGAAACAAAACATAGCTTTTCAGCTCTAGATCATTTCCTAACTTGTAATTTTAAAATGTTTGCAAAAATAAAGAATAATAAAGCATTTGTTAAACAATTTCAGAATTTGTGGTTTCAAAATAAGTATATGTATATATTGTTGATTCCGTTTATTGTTTTGGATTGAAGGTTTATTTATGTATAGCTTATATTCTGCTATATTCTATCTAGTCATTTCTTTAAATTTTCAATTGCTAATATTGCTGAGGATATATATTTAATTTATAAGGCATATCAGAGTGAAAAATACCAATATATTTAACTTATTAATCAACAAATTACTTAAAACTCTATAAATGATTTAGCAACTAACAAGAAGTTTAAGGACTTAGACCTTTAATGTATCATAATATAAAACCATTAATCTTACTCTACTGTACATAAATGTAAAAATAGTAAAAAACAATGATAATAATGTATTGTGTAGTGTATAGTGTATTTAAAGCTTATAAATAATAATGAATAAGTAATGCATATTTATCGAAACATTGCAACTATTTGCTTACCCAACACTAACCTTCAAGTAGTAGTGGGGTGTGACAGGAATTGATGGGCAAATTCCACGCCCACAAATGTATGTAGCATAGAAACCTTAGCACATTTTTTGCGACCAACATCAAGGACATGCCGCCAAGGGCAAACGCTGCGCGAGGTGTTTGTTGCTTGACCCAGTTTCCGTTTGGTTGTGCATGTCAGGGCTGCTCAGCTTTGAGGAAATGAAAACTGGGACAGTACACACACACACACACACACAAACTGATGTGGCAAAGAAAGCTCTATGTGTTGGGAAAAGCTTCGAGGAAAGAGCAGCAGCAGCAGCAGCAGGGTGATTCAGTTTCTGAGCTCAAAAATTAGCCGCCGCAAAGTATGCAGTTCTTTTTGTGATTTTACTGCAAGTAAGTTGGATTTTTACATACAAGTCAAATGGCAATTTGTATTTTAAACTTTAAAATTTAAGGAAATATATATAGGGTTTACGAATAGAGAAATGTAATTATATAGACTTATAGGTCGAGAAAAGGTAGATTTTTTATTTAAAAAATTAAATAATAATAATGGTGGGAATAATGGTGTATAAAATCTAAAGAATTTTCTGTTCTAAAATTAAAATAAAAAAAAAAATAAATAAAATCTATTCTAAAAAATAAAAAATAATTTTTAAAAACACATAAATTTAAATTTTTTTTAAAACTTTATTGAAATATATAATTAAAAAAAAATTAAATACATATATTGGTAATTCTAAAAATAATGTACTGCAGTAAGAAAATTCAAAATATAATTCTTTCTTTATTTATTTTATTTTTAATTTTTATATAGGCAGTTCTCTTATGTCAAACGCGATATTCAAACTGAAAAAAACATGGGTCAAGACTTTATTTTTATTTTAAAAAAATTTGAAACTTTTAACTCTTGGTTAGCACTATAATTTGTGCAAAGTTCGTTTTTGGACAATTGTTCGTTTTCAAGATAATTAAAAATATGTAAGTCATTCACATGCGATCGTACAGAAATAACTTTTTCAAAAAACAAACTTAAGCCCTGATTTATGCGAAACGTGATAAAATATTTCACGTAACGTATTATTCGTAGAGTAATCCTTATAATGTAATCTTTATAATAATCTTTATCTTAAAAAATATTAAGTATTTTTTTTAAATTGAATTTTAATCCCTGTCGCACGCAACACTTTTATTTTACAATTATTACAAATATTTAAAATTAAGTGATTATCAAAATTACAATATAACATCCTTTGAATGTTGTTGGTAGAAAAAATAATATAATTTTATATTTATATACATTTTTTTTTTTTAATTTTGTGATATGTATATATTGAATTTATTAAAATTACAAATATTTAAAATTAAACAAAAAATTTCAGCACAAACTTTAACACAAACTTAAAAACCAAAAACATCTTTCAAAAAATATATTCTATATAACATCCAAAATTTTATCCATGTCTAAAACAATGAAAAGTGCGAAAAATCTGATATTTGTGGCATGCGACAGTGATGTAAATTAAATTTCATTCTAGCACAAGCTAAATTAGACAAAAATTATATCCACAATAAATTACAAAAATTATAAAAATGACTGCAATAAGAATCAAATGATATATCCATTCTGAGGGATATTCAACGTTATCGATATCACTGTGGCACTGTATCGATATCGGCATCGGCGGATCCTTGCCATGCAAAGTACATTCGATGACTGTCAAGTCAGAAGTTATCTATATGATATATGAAGATATGTTAATGATTATAATATAGTATTATATATAATATTAATATATTATTTTAATATTATGATCATAGTGTAAAAAATAAACTTACATTGTACATTCTCTGAACTGAAGATGAGTTGCAATTGCACAGGATGGGATTCCCCAGGACAATCGCTATGGTGTTAGTCAGGCCAAAGATGCTGTGCATATCCGTAAGCTGATTATAGCTCACATCGATAGTGTGAATCGGCGGCATTTCCTCGGGCAGGTCCTTGAGGTAGTTGTGGCTGATGTTCAAGCTCTTAAGCCGAGTCCAAGCACCGAAATTATAAGTGACCAGGCTGCTGATCTTGTTCCGGGACAGATCCAGGTGCTTCAGGTCCTTGAATCCACTCAATTTCAGTTCTTCCGGCACTTTCTGCAAATCGTTGCCAGACAGATCCAAGGATTCTAACCCCTGCCTAGCCAAGCATTCGAAATCGAGGTCCAGTTCGGTGTTTTTGGAACAATCGGCCATCAAACCCCCAGTGGTTACGTCAGTCCCAATCAAACAGCCGCATAGTTTCATTAATGGGGGACAGATTGACATAGTTAAATGCATAACTATAATAAAATGTCTGATAAGCATCTACAGTGATAGAGAAAAGTAACGAAACGGATATGAAACAAGTTATCTTAAATTCAGCTAGTAAATAAATTTAAAGGAAGTAAATATAATGATAATTAAGTAAAGTTAAGTTATATAATAAAAAATCAAATAGTAATGATTATATTTTGTTTTTTTATCTTTTTAAGATATTCATAGAGTAAAAAAAATATTTAAAATAAAAATTAAATTAATTAATTAAAAAAATAAAATAAAATGTTAAATTAATGATTATTAACCATTTTTAATTTTGTTGCTTAGAATAATAGAAAAAATCATATATTTAATTGATAATTATAATTGAAAAATAAAAAGGATCATAATTTACGGTCCCTGATATTGACTTTATAAAAAACTAGTAACCTGATCATTTTGGTTACTAGTTTTTTATAAAGTCAATATCAGGGACCGTAAATTATGATTCTTTTTATTTATAAGAAGATAACTTATAAGAAGATAACTGAAAATTGGCAATACTAATTGAAATTGACACAGAACAAATATAAGTAAGTGATGGTTCTTTCATAGCAATAAAAAAGGAATGAGGTTAACTATCAGAACACAGTAATATGCCTTTTATAGGTCTTATCTGTTTTCCAAAGGTTTTACTAGTTACAAACTTTCTACGATCAGTAAATAATCTAAACCTACAGCATGTAATTGCCTATATCAGTTAGCTTTATCAATTGATAGACTTCCGTTAGTCTATAAAGTGCTAACTGCATTTCGTATTATCTTTGCCTAGAGTACACTTAGTTTTGTTTTAGTTAGCTAGTGATTAGATGGCCAGTCTGAAGACAAAACGTATTATTGGTTTCCTTAACACAAACAGATTTTAAAAGCTAATAATAATTAAGATTTATTTTCAAGTTATATAGTAATCCAAAAAGTGTTATCATACCTGGATTTTATATAGTAATTTTGCTATAAAAAGCTGCTAAATTCTGACATTTTTATGAGATAAGAAGAGTAACATTTCTGAACTCAAGAAGCTTAATTTAAAATTGAATGACGCCAAAGATCCAAATGAAACACTCTCTCCTTAAGTGATAAGACTTTACAGAAACATATTCTGTTAAATTCTTGTTAAGCTCTGAATAAAAAAAGAACACAGTATGCAGATAATAAATACACATACAGGGTGCGCCATATTTTATGATGGTATATTAACATTGAATATCTTTGTAAATAAACAACCGATTTTCAAGTATGAGATATATTTATTTAATTTTGTTCAGTACAATTTCTTTAGACTAATTTTTGAAAACAACATCAATCAAGTGGCCGCCTTTATTGGACACAGCAAAGAGTGCCCTTTGTGCTGATTTGCCATCACTTTTTCTAGCATCTCAGGTGGTATAGCGATCACTTTTGCACGAAAATTTGCCTTGAGCTCGTCAACGGTTTGAGGCTTGCTGGCAAAAACTTTGCTCTTTAAATATCCCTACAAAAAGAAGTCCAGAGGCGTCAAATCTGGAGATCTAGGTGGCTTAACGATATCGCTTTTTTTTTTTTAATTCAACACAACTGAACGACTGTTTCCAATGTAAAGTGTTATTATTTAAGCGCGTTCTTTATATGTGAAGCGATTCATGATTAAAATTTTGTTAAACTAAGGGTTTCAACACTAGTCTACTCAAGTTAATCGGTTCACTAATGACAAAGTTATTCAATGTTTACATACCGACAAAAAAGATGGCGCACCCTGTACATATTTATGTTTTTTAATGAAAAAGATTATGGTTTTTCTGCAATTGAGCACAGCTCAGAAGCGAAACAGAAGCGTTGAGAAATATTCCTCTCGGGACTCGCCTCTAATTAACATCGAACTTATGAGAAAACCTCTGGAAATTTCTAGAACACATTGTTATCTGAAGAGTAAATATCTATTTCCGGCTTGAAACTGTAAGTTTTTATCCAAAGACCAAACATATTACTTACTAATTTTATTCTTTTTTTAGGCAATTTCGCAACAAAAGAGAGGCATAAATATTTAATTTGCTGACAAATACGAATTTTAAAAGGATTTAATGTGATTTACTTTATAAAATAAACAAATATTATCCTAATTTTATTTGAAACGGCAAATATTTAAAGAGTGAAGATTCAGACGCAATCAAAATTCAATTTTAAAATGTATTATACGTGTGCTTAAATATAAATACATTTAATAATTCTATTTCCATTTCTGTTTTACTTACAGGATATTCAACACTTAAAATCATCGCTTAAACTTGGACAAAATTAAATAAAAATAAAACTATAAATATGGTAATAAGATTACTACACGTTAATTAGAAAATATTGTGAACATAAAGTTTTTAATGTTTCAAGTTAATCGATTTTAAACGAAGTGAGTAAATTGCTTAGAACAGGATGGATCTACATAACTAAATCGACTGGTGAAGCTTATAAAAAAAATATATATTTATATAAGTTGTTCGAGACTATATAAACGTACAAACAAACATATATATTCTTGATCAACATCACCAGGCGACGCGATATAATAACCTTCGTCGGTTCGTCTGTTTCTCTGCGACTTACATACTCAGTTTATAGACTACAAAGACTATGAAGTCAAGTTTAAGTACACAAATATAGCTTATGGTCGATCATGAATATGTCGTTCATTTAAATATATATCATATATCGAATTGCAAGCTAACATCAGTTTAGGGATCTTGACTAGAATCAGACTGCGCTTAAAGAACTGTATAGAGTTGCCAAAAATCAACCTACAACCTATACATTTATAGGCACTTAACTTATTCCAATTTTTTCGTTACAGAGAGGAAGAGCAACTTGCATTTTAATTATTTTTAATTTTGTAAATGCAAAATTATTGTAAATTACTATATGAATTTATGAATTCTGCTCACGGATCGTTTTCTTTATGTATCATTAATATCATATCATACTAAAAATATCTGGCGAATCCAAATTTTATTCAAAACTGCAAATATTTAAAAGGTGATAATTCAGACGCATTCAAAATTCAATTTTTTAAATACATACAATCAATGCTTTTAAATACATTTCATTTCATTTCTTTATTTCCACTTCTCTTTTACTTACAGGCAATTTAACCCATAAAATCATCGTTTGAACTTGGACAAAATAAAGTAAATTTGAAAATATTGTGAAATATTTTTCGATTATGATATTATGAATATATCTTTCAAAAGTATATATCATATATAGAAATGGAATCTAATGTGTATTTAAACTTGACTTAGACTTGTAAGTTAACATGTATACATTTATAGACACGTTTACTAATTTAATTTTTTTCGTTACAGAGAGGGGAAGAGCCACTTGAATGTTTTAACTACTTGCATTTTCTATGAAAAACAAAATGATTACCTTTTTTTCATTTTATAAATGCAAAATTCTTGTAAATTACTACATGAATATATGAAAATTACTCATGGATTGTGTTTTTTATGTTATCTTTCCAAAGATTCCTACCTTTTCTTATTGATAGTTCTTTAAAACTTTTCTACCAAAATGTCAGCTGAAGTCTTTATTCAATTCATGGCGGAACCCTATATGTAACACTTTTGTATTATATTTAGTGAATTTAAAGAAAGAAATGTATAATTATATGTTGTATAATAATTAAATTTAATATATTTAAAAGACGAAATAAATAAATATATACATATGTACAAAGATACATATGTTAACGCTTAAAACGCACCTGAAAAATAAAAACAAATTTTAAACAAAGATTTTTGGCTAAAGCGTGTTAATTTTAAATGAAGGTAAGATTTATTAAGTACATAACATACAAATATATTATTTAATAAAAAATAATCAGTAGAACACAAATATTATGGATATGTTACTATTTTTAGTGAATTTCTTTTAGGGATTCCATTTATATAAGTACTTATGTATTTCAGGCTTTCTTTATAAGACATAAAAAGTAAAATTAAGAGTTGCAAACAGGAGGTGCATTTGACAATGACAATGACTCACATGAAAAAAAGTGATACTATTTTCGGAAATAACACCATCTATAGGTACAAAAATGCAGCAAGTACGCCTTTCTCAAAGATAAGCCGCAGATTTTTTCACTTTATGTATTTTTGATCCTGTTTGAAGTCACCCAGATCAAATAAAATCATAGACATTACTTGCAAAATTGTACTCAGTATATATGAATATAATATATAAATATTTTTACTTACTGCCATCATTTTTTGCTGCATAATAACTTGTTATCAGTTATGGTATTTTATTTATATGTTTCTCTTACGGCTTGTTATATATTTTCCTGTTTTTTTATTTAGATAACTTTTCCTAATTGTCTTTTTGCTTAATATTTGTATAGTCTATTTAACTTGTGGTGCAAATTGGAGATGATACCGGTTTGCGATCTTCGATCAATTGTGTGCGATAAAACTATCGATACATTCGTTTTGATCCAATTAAAGGCATCGTTTTTACTAGGACTGCATTTTAAATTAATCCATTTTTGGTGAAAATTACATATATTTTTTTTATTAATAAAGGGTACGCTGTGTACGCTGATATGTGTATTCGAACTTTAATATATAATATATTATAATAAATAAAAATTATTTTCGATCAAAAAATATTATAAAAAAAAAATAATAATTATTAATATTAATAAAAATTATTATTTTAATTATTTCCAATTAATTTAATTATTTCATTCATTTTTTATTTTTTAGGTTGAGTTATTTAACTAAATTTATTTTAAGTTTTAAACCTTTTTTGTTGTTAGTTAATTTGTGTTTCCTAGAAAATGGTAAAAGTAAAGAAAACGATAAAGATTTCTAAGACAAATTAAAACCTCTCAAATTGCAATGAGCATCTCTGACAAAAAAAGCTGTCCTTAATGGTTTCTGTATAAGCTAAAAGCTTTTCGCTTTACACTGGCCGTATAAAATAGGCATAACTGTATTTATTTTTAAAACCAAGTTTTAGTAAAGTTAAATTATTCTTTAAATTTGTTGTGATGTTATTTAATAAATATCACTGAACAGCAGGGCGTATACTTGATGCGTATTCCTAATGAGTATACTTAATGCGTATACTTAATGCGTTTACTTGATTCAATTAAGGTGGTTGTATACTTGCGTAAACTTGATCACTTATCAATATAAACCAGTGACATTTTTATTATTTTAACATTACATTAATATTTACATCTGTTTATCTAAAATAAAAATTTTTAAACTGTAATAATTACTACTCTAGATTCACTAGTACTAGAAGCGTATACTTGACCACGTATACATATAAATATATAAAAATATATAAATATAAATATATAAATATATAAAAATATATAAATATATAAATATTCCTCTTTTTTTCTATTTTAACATTACATTAATATTTATATCTGTACACTAGCGCACGGTACTTTTAAAGCTGTATACCTTAAATAACAATTTTCCATTTTTAAGAATTTGTACTCGAATTATAATTAAACATACTGGTAAAATAATTAAATATTATTATTATTATATTAATTAAAATAATTTAATTACGATTTCTTTTAAACCAACAGTTTAAATTATTAAAAGAGATATTTAAAAAACCGTTTACTATCAAGTTAAACTGATATTTGAGCAGTGTTTGTCGTGCGTAATCCGAGCCCTGGTAAATCGGCCAAAGCAAGCAGTGCAGATTTGTTATGCCAACACAGCCTGTCTTTCAAGCTCCCTCTACGGAGAACGCTATTGTCCTGAGAGAGAGAGTAAGGACCCACCGAGAGCTGAATATGAGGCGCGCGCACACGCGAATCCTTGACGCTCGTTACTTCGTGCAAGTTGCGCCGCGTCGCTGGCTGCGCTGCCACCAACGGACGTCGACGTTGACGCACCGCCACAACGCCGCCCCCGCTAAGGCGGGATAAAGGGGAAACGAAGTGAAGCAGGCGGAAGGCGGGGCTTAGCGGGAAGGGGAAGCAGGGACGACGACGGCGGGACTCCCGAGTCCGGGTCCGCAGTCCACAGTCCGGAGTCGTCGTCAGTTTTGGACAAACACTCCGAGAGGCACGTCAGGGCCAAGCGCGCGCGCTTCTCGTGTCTGTGTGATTCTGTCTGTCTGTCTGTCCGCCGACTTGTGCGTGAACGTGAACGTGAACGCGAACGGGAGCGTGTGTGTGTGCGTGAGCCAATGGCTGCCGCCGTGCTAGCCAATTCCTATTCTGTGGCAACAACAAATACCGTGCCGTAATCGCCGTCGAGCAAAAGCTACGAAGAAAGTCTGGCCCGCAAAATTCAAGTGCAAAGTATATATCAAATCAAGTGAAAGTTTAACCCTGCCACAAGTCCCCCCCGCCGCACCAACCCCCTTTTTTCTCTACCTTTTACCAAAAATCAAGAATATCAGGAAACAGCAGAAAAACCAAAGGGAAAAATAAAACAATAAGCAACAGAGCGGCAACAACAATTACAACCACAATCAGCGTTAGCAACAAAATCAACAAAGTTGAGCTCCGGCAGAGCGGGAAAAGCGGTGTGGGCTGCCATTTCAGGCTGTCAAAAGTTAGTCGGACTCCCGAGCTTAATGTTTTATTTTCATTTTCATTTATATTTCTATTTCCACTCTAGTTTTTAGTTGCCTTTCCTTCCATTCCACCCACAGAGCTCCGTTGCGTCCTCCGCGATTTCGCTGCTCTCTCTCCGCAGAAGGCGTGGCGTGGCGCGGGCGGCCTGCCCGTGCACATAGAATAAATTGTATACTAAATGAGGATTATTATATTTTTATTTCAAGAATTGGGTGACAGTATCTAAAAGTTGGGGAAGTATAAGATAAAAAACTACAGCTTTGGATTCTTTAATGAAATTATTTTTATACACTTTAAATAAGACAAATATTATATTATATTATAATTATAATGAAAACTTAATTAATAAAAACTTTACAAGTTAAAAATTGAAATCTGTTAGTGTTTCTTGTAGCTGATTAGTAACGATAATTAGGGCTTTTACAGAGACTATTTTAGAATTCGATCTGTAAACTTTTAAAATATGGTTTTTAGTTCGTCTTAATTTTAAGAAATAATTGTTTATGTATGTATTCTTTAGTTTAAAGAAATTGTAGGTTCAGTAATTAGATGATATAATAGCCTCAGCCAAGAATTTTCATTTTGTATCAGCTTTGGAAAGGAAAACATATCTTGACACTAAAACATAGGTCTATTTATCACTTTTTAAAACAAAATATTTTATTTTTTAGACTATTAAAAAAAAGTCAATAATTTTGCTATAAAATCTTACACCCTAAGAAAGCACACTACCCGGAATTCGTTAACTACAAAATAGCATTGCATACCACCTAAAGAGTTTTTAATTGGTTTCTATACCAATCACGATATTTTACTTTTACTTACTTAAATAAATAAAAGGAAATTCATTGAGTTTTCAACTTTTTCTCTTGGGTTTCTTCGTAAATTCTATTTTCTTATTTTTAATTATCAAATGCTTCCTCCACTCCTATTTTTTCCCGTGTACCTGCGACTTAATTCTTATGGCAATGACAGCCGCTCAAGGAGTTTTCCCAAGCGCGTTCGCCTGGTCTGCTGCTGCTAAATGGCTGTCCAAGGGAGACCCAGGCTTGGGGGAATGCTTCCACAATTTAAGGTTCAAATGTCAAGTCGCGAGTCGCTTAGATAATTTGCTCACAAAAATCTATGTGTGGCGGCCGGCCAGCTTTACTTGCATTACTCATACGCCGCGTTGCCGCGAGCGAAGCATGAAAATGAAATCATACCAACTACACTGAGAAGCAATAAACGTTAAGCTCACCTACCAACTGTCAGTGTGTCCGACTGTGTGTGTGTGTGCGAGGTAGTGTGGGTGTCTATGATGAAAATTGTGAAATGCGTGCCATGGCAAAAAACAAAAGGCAGGAAAATAAATGAAAATGAAATGAAACGAAACAGACCAGCAATAAAAACGGGGCAAAAAGAGGGCTAACTGTGGGTCCGCTAATGTCCGAAAACCTGGCCGAAAGTCCAGAGTCACGCGAAGTTGCAGCAACAACAACAACAATGGATAACAGCAGATGGAATAACCATTTTGAAGTGGACAGGCCGCCAAGGTGAACCAAGGATGTCGCAGAAAACTCGTTAGATCGCACAGAGAGATCTGCACATAAATCAGGGGCCACAGAGCTGGCTGCAAAAATGCAAATAGATTGAAAAATAATAAGCAAAATGCCATGGCACACGCTGGCAACTAAAAGGGAAAAGCCGCCGTCGCACAAAATGTGTAGCATAAATAATTCCGCCCACAAAAAGGTTACACAGTCACTAGGGCGACACGCCAGCAGACAGGCGAACGCCGGCGTTGGCTTCGCAGCTGGCAGCGAAGCTGTCAGTTCTCTCACTCTCCATTTTGGAAATCCTCTCTGCCAAATCTAAGCTTAGCTCTCCGAGTGCTCTCCCGTTTTAAACTAACCTACATCAACAGCTGTGACTTTGAGAAAAAAAAAAAAAGAGTGCCGCCCACGCAAGCCGCAAAGTGTGAAACGTACCTGAAAAATGCTGAATAAATGAAATAAAAACCTTTTCAACTTAATAATATCCTAATATATAAAACAAACAAAAAATATTAATTATAAATTTGCTGTCCATCTTGTTTTTTAGTGCTTTAAAGTGTGCGCAAACTAGCGAGTGGCGTAAACAATAGGAAAAGAACTCATGAAAAAGCCCGAGCGCGCTTTTCTCTGACTGTCGCTCCTGACTTTCTCTCTGCCTGTCTCTGTCTCTTTCTCTCCATCTTTGTTCCCCTGTCGCTTTCTCTTACTCTTACTTGCTCTCTATCTCTATCTCTCTTTCTGTCTGTCTGTCTCCTTCGGTGACCATTTCTGCGGAACAGCTGTTCCAAGCCTGTTTCTCTCCCTGCGCCGACGCGTGTGTACATAACCTCAATCGTCTCTGGATGTTGCGGTAGGCGAGAGATTCGGAAGCCAAGTGCAACGCCAGGAGCAAAGGAGCAAGAGCCAAGGAGCGGCAGCAGAGCGGCGACGGAGCAGCGTTGATGCCGTTGCAGCTGCTGCTGCGCAGCAAGCGACGACGACGACGACCACAGCAGCAGCAGCAACAACAACAACAGCACAAGGAGCAGCAACAGCAACAGCAGCAGCAGCAGCAGCAACGCCAGCAGCAGCAGCGGCGGAGGCAGCAGCAACAATCAGCAACATCAGCGCCCTGTGTGCACCGACAATAATATGAGGAGTGGCAGTTCGGAATTACTACTCGAGCAGCAACAACAAGAGCTACGGTTACGTAAAATCCGAGAACTGGCTCCGAAAAAGAAAAATGGCAATCGGCGCTTTCGTTCGTGGCGGGAACGTGCGCGTTTCTATGGCACCTCGACACTGGCCTTCTTCTCGGTGACCGCCGGCGCCTCGCTGCTCTTCCTCGTACCGCTCTACGTTGATCCGGCCATATCGACGCTGAGCCACGACTTTATCGAGAACCCAACGCTGTGCACAACGACGCGTCGCGAGGATCTCGTTGGCATCTTCAACTGCTCGTGGAGCTCCTGTCGCGAGGGCTGCACCTCGGACCTCTATCGCTGCGTTCACATCTACGTGACGTTCATTGAGCAGAATATCACGATACCGGCCAATATGACCGATTATAGCAACTATACAGCGGACTGGGAGCAGTCCGGGGAGGCCACGCTTCTGGTGAACATCAAGGGATGTGGCTATCCGCCCACGGTCACGTGCAAGGACTTCAATGGCTATTATGGCATCGAGGGCGCCATCTTTCCGTGCTTCTATTCGCGCAAAAATAAGACGGTGGTCCTTACGTCCTACAACCACGACAACCAGGTGGCCATGATCATCCACTTCTTCGCGGTGCCCTTTGTGATAACGGTCATCTCGTCCATTGCCCTCTGCATTATGCACTGCGACTGCCGCTGCAAGAAGGATCGCAGCCACCGACGGAATCGGCCGCAATGCCGAAGGCCGCGCATCGAGAATCTCAGGTGAGTGATGAAGGTGTCGCATTGGGAACTAATTAAGGAGTGTTAATAAGGATTAGTTGGGGTTTAAGGATAAGGACTTCAAATTGGGAACAAGATTCTTGATAAAAATGAATCTCTCTCGGTCTCTGTAGTTAACTATGGCAATTTCTGCTTACTTAAACCGGAAATCAAAAACCAAAAGGTTTCCTTTTAGATCAGGAGTCGCATTTCCTAGCTTAATACTTAATTATACTTAATTTAATTATGGATTCAGCGTGCTATTAACATGAAATTACCATTTCTATAAAAAAACATGGACATAACTTTTACCCAAAAAAATTCATTTCCCGGTTTATGCCATTTGGAAGAAGTTCTGCTTCCCTAATTTCATTTCTAATTAAACGAATTTGTATAAAACGTGCTGTGTGAATTTGAAATGACTTGGATTCACAAATATTAGTGCTCTCCCACCGCTGGACGGGGAATTTATTTGCATATTCGCTGAATTTAGAACGATTTTCGCTTTATGTACATTCCTTCCTTTTGGCCAGTAAGTTAATTTAACAAAACTTTCCCAGCAGGAACTTCCTTCCTGGCTGCGATATTTGCTTTCCTGGCGTCAGCGTAATTTAAATAATTCACTAATGACAGTTTCTGTATGTGTGCGCGGAGGGAACGTGTCAAGGGCGGGGTGCGGGTCTGGTGCTGGTGCGAAGTGTGTGGGTGGCTGTTGTTTTGTTATTATTTTGGAGTAATATGCGGTCTAAATTATTTATAAGACCAGCAGGCGTCGCATGTATGTATGTGCGCGGCCACCCTGCACCGCAGCCGAGGCATTAGCGCACGCACCAAGCACGCACCACATTGCGTATGATTGATATGTTGAGCTGTTGACAGAGCCGCCGGGGGTTTGAGGCTGTCTCTGGCTGGCATTGACTGCTAATGGAAGGGGAGGTGCCCGGGCACTGACAACGGGACAGCAGCTGACAATTACATTTGTCCTGCGAGTAAATAGTCCTGGCCATCGATTCAGGGACACTCCGACTCCTTGCAGCTGGTCTTTAATGCTCACTCCCTTGCTCGCTCGTTTTTATTGAATTCCCTTTGACTCCGTGGCTTTATCGAATCTCCTGCTCCATTGTTTGTTGCCCTCCATTTTCTCCTTTTTTTCGAGGAAATTTCCATCAGTTTTCAATTCTCATTGCACATCGATTCAATCGATAATGAATTGGTGGTCTGGTCCGCCCCCGTCCCCGTACTACCTGCAGTTCCTGTGCCTGCTTTTGTCCGCCCATCCACTTGGTACGTGCATTATTCAAATGTCATGCCAGCCAGGGCTCTCTCACATGCCAGCCAACCCGCCAGCCAAGTTGGGCAATTCCAGTTCGACGAGTGTTCCCCTCCTTGGATCCTTTGTTTTCACCTCCTTACAGGCCTGCAGGCTTGGACTGGCCAGGAGCCTTGTCGAAGTGCGAGGATGCTCTGTGTTCCTCGGCCTTGCTGGCTTAGAGATCATCGAAAAATTTCCATGTATAATCAAGTGTGGCCCCATTGCGGTCAAGTTGCACTCGAGGAAAAATATCCTTGAACGGGGAATTAATCTGTTTTTTTTTTAAGTTTGAAAGTTCATAGGGAGAAATCGATGGATCTGAAGTTGATAGCTTGCAATTGTAGCACTAGTGACTTTGAATTTAAAGTATATTCTTATTTTAACACATTTAGTCTTATATCTTTTACTTATTACTTATAATAATTATTACTTACTTATTATTTATTACTTTCCAATAACTATTTTTGGTATTAATTTACCATATCTTCTTTTTATTTACTAAAGTTTATTGAGAAGTATTACTTAAAGTTAATAGTATAAATTCGTGTATTTATATGTATTATATATGAGTATTAATTTATTTTATGGAAATAACGAATACGATTACTTATTCCAATGTATTTAAGAGACTAAGGCTGGTATTTTATTTACATTTACATTTTTTATATATATTTATATTAAATTATTTTACAACCTGTTGTTTCAAGGCTTCTCCTTTTCTTTGACAAGATCTTTGTAAATTTTAAATATAAACTCACGTTTTTATTCATTTATTGTATGTTTACCTGGACTTACTTAAAGCTTCTTGTATTCAAACATTTTTAAATATTTTTCATTTATATAATAGGGTTTTTAAACCGCTTAATGTGTTGCCACATAATTTTTTTTAGTACCAAATTTATTAAACATTTGTTTATTTTTATGTTTTATAAATTTGTAACACAATTTTGACTTGATTTTATTATTTTTAGAGGAATTACTAAGATGAGTGACTCTTTGCATTTTGATTCTAAGTAATTCTCAAGAAATCCTTTAGTTAAATGTCTTGTAAGGTTATTTTCGTTTTTCTAAGTGTACGCTAGCTATGTACAATGTGCGAATAAATCTGCGGATAGCTGAAGGTGCATTTCCAACATATATTCCCCCCCAAAAGAAAAGTTTTAGTTTCAAAATTCCTTTCGCCACGAAAGTGAGGCGTCGGCAGGTGCTGCTGAAATTTATCTAATGCGCATATTTTTGAGCTTGTTTTCAACGGAAATCACTAATAAAAACAATCGAGAAAGAGCTGTTGAAAAGTTGCGAAACAAAATGGCGTCAGCGTGTGCCGTTTGTTAATGCTATCTGCCATGCACACGGGCACACACACTCCTAGACACCGTCCCGTGTGTGTGTGTGTATGTTACATAATCAGCTTACCTTTCGCTGATGCTATTCCTTGTCGCTTTTGTCTGCGACTTTGTTTCAGTCACAGTTGCAGGACTCGGATTTGCAGGATATCGTTCACACGGCGTCACTCGACTTCAAACTCTTTCGAACAATATGCAAAACGCATGCAAAAATATCGCCTGTCAGTTGGTTGCATTTGCGAATGGCTAAAAGGGAGCGGTTGGAGTGGGTAACTCAGCTGCCAGCTGGCTAATGATTATGGGCAAGCGTTATGGCATTGTGCAAGTTTCGCACGTTGCCGCCATTGTCGAGTGCGGAGTCCATGCTCTGCATTAGCGCCACTCTCGGGCCACTTAATCATTTGGCCATAACGCAACTAAATCGCAGCCAATAAAGCAGCAGCCTGAGCAACTAAGTAGCCAGCAGAAGTTAAAAGCCAAGTAGCAGCAAGTATGTTAATACAGGTTCGAAGGGGAAATACCCTAGAGGAAAGGAAAATGTACAAAAATGTTTGAATTAAATCAAGTTTTGTGTTGCAGAAGGAATGATTAATTCCTTAATTTAGTTTCCTCTGCAAATTTGACGACCTCAACTCCCAGGTCAAACTCAAGTCTAATAAGGAATACTCAGACTAAGTGTTTTTGGCGCTAAAGTTTTATCCGGGGAAGATTAAATCAAGAAGAGCTTCAAAATTGCAATTCCGATTTTGCACAGCAAACTGGCTTCATAGTTTTGTGGTTCCCCTGGCGCAGGGTATAGCCACCATCAGCATCTTCTTCAAGTGCAGCTCAAACAAGAGTTTAAGGGTTCAGCAGCCAGGCGAGGGGCGGGAGGTGGGGTTGCAAATAGGGGTTTTGTGGTGCAAGATTGAGGGTGTGGGTGCCAACGGGGACGAAATGCTCCTAGTGTGGCCTACTTCTGTTTCTGCTTTTGCGGCTGCCTAGAAGCGTTTTCTTTTTTATCCTTTTTTTTTTTTGTGTTTTTGTTCTTTGTGTGAGTGTGCGAGAGTGTGCCACTTTGTGCTGGCTTCCTTTCTTTTATTTTATTTTTATAGAAAAATCAATTTTGCTCCTTTTATGAACATCCCAAGCAGCTGAGAATGCAACGAAGTCACGTCTTTCATTTTCCTAAATGATTTTCTACGAATTGTGTTTTTCCTCGCCATCTACATGCATGAAATTTCGGACGGACGGACGGACGGATTATTTGCCGAAAATTTGATGGGTGGCCAGTCGATGGTCAGGCGGAGCGAGAGAATGCCACAAGCTAAGGAGAAAAATATGTTTTTGCCACAAAAAAAAATATCAGAGAGTCACCAGAGTTTTTAAAACATTTTTAAACTATTTAACTAGTCTTACTGAAAACCCTAAGAATTTTAAATCTTAAGAATAGGAAACGTTCCCTGAATTTGTTTTTTTTTTAGCCCAACTTAATTATAAATATGGTCTTTATAATATTTTAAAGCATTTCTTTAAGCTGCCTGCTGCCCTTTTCTCCTGGAGAATCCCTGGTCTATCCTTTAGTTATCCTTGTGTTGTATATAATTATCCATAAGCTTTCCAAACAATTTCTAAAACTGCACCCTTTGCAAAAGACCCACCTGCTCAGGCTCACATAATCACAAGGCTTGGGTTCGATTTGTATTTGGATTTGGGTCCCGTTTCTGCTTCTTTTCTCCTTTGGCAGCCTGCCGCAATCTAATGACAACAACAAAAGACGCTTGATTATTGCTGAAATGCCGTTTAGTTGCGGACAGATGTTACCCGTGCACCCGTCACGTATCCTTATGCCAAGCTGGAAACAATGGTGGCACAGACCAACCAACAAAAAAAAAAAATAAGAATGAAAAAAAAGAGATCTCCTTTATCTAGAGGGTGCAAGGACACATATCCCCCACATTGTTGTAGTGGCCTATTTTTTATTTATCAGCGCCGAAAGGGGAACTAGGGAAGTGCAAGCTATCTCAATCTCGGACCCACACACATATGTATGTATAGAGTATCCGCAAGATGCGCCAGTCACCCTGAGAGCGTGAAAAGTCGCCTTTTCTCAACCAACTTTCGCCGCCCACAACGCCACCCCCAATCGATATTAATAATGCGCAGCATATGAATGCTGTTCAATAAATTTCCATTTCTTGCTCGGTTCCTGCCATTGAAATCGGCAATTGGAGATGGAGATTGGCCTGCGATGGGCGCAGGGATATAGAATATGGGCGATGGGCGTGGCTGTCGTAGTCATAGTCGTAGTCATCGTCGTCGTCAGTCAATTCATGTAAATCCCCAGAAAATCCCTATGCCCCCCC